TAATCTGATAAGCTATTAACAAGATAAGATAAGAGATAAGAACAATAAGATAAGAACAAGCAAAATGAGCTAATCTAATCTAGATAAGGCTGTTGTTGCCGAACTGGGTAGGATGAGCATCACTGAATCCTTGCTGCTGCTGGTGGTGGGCCCGGGGCCTGTTGCTGCCGGCGGCGATGGTACATCTTCCCGAGGAAGGCGTCCATAACACAGGCCTTCATCATGTGGTTTAAATTGGGATTTCGGGTTCAAAAAGGGAGTTGAGGGATAATGCGTGTGAATCCCTTATCCCCTTTCTCTCTCTCTCTTGGAAAAGGTTTTCTTGGATCAAAATCTCTTGGATGGTAGAGTTTGGTACCCCTCCCCTGATGGTCACGTCTCCTGTGCTTCTTTTTTTTAACCTCCTTATTAGTTCAGAACCCTTGGGGGTAAATCTCCTGGTGAGAGAAATTTGGTGCAAACCAATCCCTCCTAAGGCAAAGGCGCTATGTTGGGAAAGTTTCCTTGGGAAGTTAAACACCTGTGACGTGCTACAAGAAAAGAAAAAAAAAAAGGCCAAATAATTGCCTCTCTCCTCATGTGTGTTTCCATTGCAAGGCCAGTGGTGAGAACCTTCCTCATTTACTACTTTTCTGTTCGTTTGTAACTTGTATTTGGGACTACTTCTGCTCTCTTTTTGGTTGCAAATGGGTACCCCCTCAGGATGTGGCTAGCCTATTTAACTCCAGTTTCTTAAGGCAAGAAAAGGGGAAGATGTCTATGGAAAATTGGGAGGAGAGAAACCAAAGAATCTTCCAAGAAAAGAGTAGGTCAATTGAGGAAGTGATTGAATTCATAAGGATCAGATCTGCACATTGGGCTAAAACATTGGAGCTGTTCAGAGATGTTTCCACAAATGACTTATTATGGAAATGGTCTGAAGTGGTACAAACAAATATGCACAAAGAAGTAGTAATAATGGAATGGAAACCTCCAAGGCCAAACAAACTGAAATTAAATTTTGATGGGAGCTCCTTTGGTAATCCGGGGAGGGCGGGTTTATGGGGAGTTTTCAGAAACCACCAAGGTTTATTGTGGCCTTATTATCTGGGCCAATTGGATTTGGTGACTCGGTTAAGGCTGAGACAATGGCTCTCTTACAAGGACTAAAACTGGCAATACGGATGGGCGTTAGAGAGCTTGAAGTGGAAGGAGATTCCTTATTGGTTATTTCTTGGGCAAAACAAATCATTTCAGTTCCTTGGAAATATAATTTGCCTTCAAGGAAATTGACTACCTTGCAAAAAGTTGTAACACTAGCTTTGGATGGGTAAAAAGAAACAGCAAATGGACTGGCAGATGTTCTCGCAAAACAGGGAGTGGACAGATCCACTCTATTTTGGGCATTGTTGTAATCTGTAATAGTAAAAAGGGGGCATGGTAATCAGGGTGGCCAATCTGGCTTTATTACTATTGCTTATCAAAAGCATCAATTAAAGGAAAGCAACAGTAATGAGATATTTATTTCATGTAAAAGCTAACTATTGCTTATCAAAAATAAATCAAAGGAAAACATGAACTTATTTCTTTCATTTTCTTTCCATTTCATATTCTTTCTTTATGGTCTCTTCTTAGGATGAGAGGATGTGTAGCAGGAATGGTTGTCCAGATAAGCATTAGGTGAGCATAAAGAAGAAAAAACACTTTCAACAAGATCAAGACGTGTTACAAAGATTCTATTACAATCAATTGATGGGAAACAAACAAACCCAAAAGAGGGGGGGGGAACACAATGAAAATATCCCTTCCTCAAAATCAATCAGATCAAAGCATGCAAGGCAATACAAACTCAGTAATCTCATTAGATGATCACTCAACAAACAAGTGCATATGCATCTAAGTAACTCGTGGCAGCATGTAGTAAAGCTATCACAATTTAATAAACTCTAATACATTAATAACAACTGATTAACAATCCCACCTTTACTTCCTCTATGGCAATAGTGCTTGGAACACGGCGGTGATCCTTTCGACGTGGTGTCTCTTGTTCTTCTATGTCTTCCATGCTGACACCAGGATCTACTGTCAAAATCACTCTTACCCATTGCAAATCATTATCATGTTGTGCTCCAAACCCTTGTGAAGAATACTGTGAACCTTCACTATCAATTGCTGCCAATGCCATTGAAGCAGAATTTGAACTGCTGTGCAGAATTATAGACTCTGAGTGATTTATGTCTGTAATTCTTGGCTGTTCAGGCGGTTCCTTATCCACTGAAAAGGTGACACTAACAAATTTAATTTTGGCCTCCCATAAATGTGCCATGGCCTGGTCAATAGCTTGAGAAGTAGATCTTGACATCCTGTCAGTACCACTACGATACATATCTGGTGTGGTCCATAAAGGATATGCCCATGGAGGAGGCTTTGGCAACTGTACATCTCCATTTGCTAATGGAATACCTCCTCTAGAAAGCTTTTGAGAATTGGATGCTTCCTTTGTATGGCTAGCAAAGGAAAAAATAGCGTGTAAGACTGTAATTTTGACCAATGAATCCCTTTCTCATTAGATAACAGAACTCGTTGATAACAAAAGATTTTACTAACCAATGAACTCTATTTAGATAAACTAAAATGTACAATACAACAAGTGTACCAAGTCTTTTTTTATGAATAACAGTAGGTAAATTTCATTAGAAAATACCATACCAATAAAGTCTATTTAGATTTTACCAATACCTTCAAAAAAGGTACCAAAGAACAAACATGTTAGCACTCAACTCAAATCAGGCTTATTAAAAAATACCTTGGCAATTCACATTTCAAAACTTCAACACATATCAAGTAAGGCGCCTTTTCCCTAGAATTCAAGAGAACAGCTTCATCTTCAGGTATATGGACAACTCGATACATCCCTTTCCCCATTGGAAAGCAAACTCCTATAATAACAAGTAGAAAAAGCAGCCAATAATTGAATCAGGTCTCCAAGAAATATTAGAACAGAAAACAGCAAAGTACTCAATTCCAAGATAAGGCAATATTGGCCTTTGAGTTTTAGGCCCAAGCCCAGCCAAACATAAGACAGGATTAGACCAGGTTTCAATGAGGCAGAGGCATAACATTGGCATCAGCTAGAGACACTATTGTAGCACCCAGTCACCCACATATGTAGAAAAACTAATCCTTTAACTTGCTCTGAAGAATAGAATGGATTGAGTAAATTTACACCATGTGCTGTTAATTTTCTTTCCCAAAAATAAAAGCATCACAGTAACAAAAAAGAGGATTCTGAGCCCACTTTTTTAAAGCATAAAAAAGGACAGCCCAGAGCAGAAGGCTCCCACCAATGCAGGATCTGAGGAGGGATAGATGTACTCAGCCTTACCCCTAAAGACATGGAGAGGATGTTTCCAAGATTTGATACCTGGTCACCCAAGTCACAATAGAGCAACCCAACCATTGCATCAAGGCCCACTCTCACTTTCTCAAAGCATCACTTCCTAAAAACGCCCCACATTTTTAAAGAACCAACTCTTTGTCAATAATATTAACATCAAAATCATAGACTTCTTCAGTTTGTATCTTATGTCTAAATTCATCCAGATCATTTACCAACCAAAGAATTTCAAAAACTCTTTTTACTGCATAGGCCATAAGTACTTGATAAAATTACAAATAAACTCAACAAAAACTGAAAAACAAGATGTACGTTAGCAGATCAATATCAATCTTTTAGAACTGAGCAAAGATCAGGGAAAAATACCTCCACTACATTGAGCAGCCTCTATATGTGAATTGATCTCTGCAAGTGACTAGCAACACAAGAACCATAACATCAGAACTCCAGCATCTTATTGCCAAGAGAAGAAACTTAACCAAATTGCAAGCCAGATAAAACAATAAAAAAGTATGTATAACCTCACGAAGAGCACTTTTGCGATCATCAATTGGGAAAATATCCACCAGCCCATATGAAGTCTCACACAGTGATTGAACAAAGTCCAATGAAACATGATATGTCCCTTTTCGAATCTGAGGTGTGGAATTATTAGGTAATGGGGGTTTTGTATGTGATTTTTCATTCCTCTGCCTTGGTGAACCTGGACGCTTCTGTCATATCAAAAGCACAAAAGATAACACAAAGGAAAATTATGATCTATTTACAAAGGCAAATAATTACAATACTTCATATCAACATTACACATGCAGATGAGTTAAAGTTACAACAAAATAAGGCTTGATGCACACTAAATAAGAACATCAAAATAAGGCACTCAAAATTTTCTTTTACACATGTTATAAAGTAAAAGTATGAACTTTATAAAGGAAACAAGATTTATTAATAGGTAAAAGAAGAAGAAAGTAAACAAATCAACAGTAAGCCTTGACAGATGGATCATATAAAAGCACTAAAAAAGAGAAGAAATATTGTGTATAAGTACAAAGAATTCCTCATGGTATTTTTTATGCAGAGCTCAGTTCAATTCCCATGGCAGTAACTAGGGGTGCTCATGAAAAACCAAAAAAAAACAAGCAAAACCGAGAAATTGAACCAAAAAATATGGTTAACTGAACCAGCTGATTTCATTTCGGTTTGATATCTTTCCAAAGAAACAGTTTTCTGTTCAGTTTCGGTTAACATAGATGAAAAAAAACAATGATAAACCGAACTGAATGGTATATGTATAACATTTTTTTGATAAATTGTGGTATATGTATAACATTATTAATAATTTAATATATTTTTATTATTACTTGTTATAATTTTTAAATATTTTAATTTCAAACATATGGTCATTTGTTCGCCCTATTTATCAATTCCTGCCAATGTAAAGGCAAATGGTTTTTAGTTTTAAATAGTTAGGATGGTCTTTACATGTCAGCAGCTGTCATTCATAAAAAGTTAAAAAGTAAAGCCTATCAAAAATAGGCTGCCAAGCGTCAACTGTCATAGACTAAGTTCATAGCTATCTTGTCATTCCCGTCCATCTACCTAAAACCTTGTTCTTACATCCCTCTCTCAATTCTCAACATCTCATCCATCTGCCTTCCTCTAACCTATAGAACAGCAGGTCACCGCTTACACCCTTAGCAGTAACCTATGACAGGATTCTTTTAAGGGTGAGGTATTTTATACTAAAGGACCATTTGATAACATCTAAAGTGGCTAAGTGAATGTCTTATTACTTTTTCTTTCAGTGGATAAAAAAAGCCATACAATAAAATATTTAAAGGTATAGTAATCAACCCAACTTTCCATTTACCCATTAATGAACCCACAACTTAGGCCCTGTTTGGTTAAGCTGTAGCTGGGTTCCTGAAAGGCATAAAGCCCAAAAAAGATAATTTATGGTTTGCTAAGATGGTCTTGAAAGCTACAGCCCAGTAAAAACGGAAACCCAAAAGAAAAAGAGGAAGCTTTGATTGTAGTTTTCCGTTTGGGTTGTTTACATTTTGAAACCTGGAAATTTTTCTAAGTTCTGGCTTATCAGACTGCTAACACCCTTTCATTGTTTTCCATTGTCATGAGACCAAATACAATGGTTTGGACAGCAAAGCTACCAAACAGGCTGCCCAAGCTTTATCTTCATTTCTGGAAACCTAATGGCACCCTACTTAATGGCATTGAGAGATCTTTTTAGAAAGGCCAACCAAATGCCACCCTACTTAATGGCATCCACTAAAAGACAAAGAAACAACTCATCCAGTTCAGCCACTTCAGCTGTTATCAAATGGCTCCTAAATGTTACAAAAAAAACATTAAAATATGAAAGAAGAATAAAGAATGTATGAGTAAGAGAGTGCTCCGCAGACAAGTATATCTATGAAAAAACAATAATCCATAAGTCCCCTGAGGAAAACTTTAACCATGTTTTACATTGTCAAGAAGGACCAAATGCAGTTGAGAATCAGACTCTGTATCTGTACATAGCCGTCTAAAAGGTTTTTCCTTGCCATTAAAAAGAAAAGTTGTTTTTTATCTCTCCACAATCCCCAACGTAAGCAAAGGAATGACCAAAAGATTTTCACCTCGGTATTACCAGAGATGAGTATACACATAGAGAAGGATCTCTTAAGGATGTCAAAATGTATAACCATGTAACTGAACCCGCAATGCAACAAACCCATTATATAACCTAAATTTTGGATGCATAACTGTGTTACTGTGCAATATGTGCAACTGCAATCTGAGGCTCATTCTTAGTCAATGTCATGATAAAGTGCAACGTAGGACATGTTTGTAGAATTATCCGATTGTCAGAATTGTTTTCTCATCATTTAGACTTAGAACTTAACAATAATGATAGCCATCAAAGTCAAATCCTGTTGTTCAAATAAAGATTAATCAACAGCTTAACCTCATGAACTGCAACAACAGGGACCACATTTACATCACACACCTATCAACGTAACAAAAGAAATGCAATCTTTGAATAAACTCCATACTAACCTCCTTGTGCTTCCTTGAACCAAACAACTCTGAATCTTCCATAGACCTATCCCGATCCCTAAATAGCTTGCGAAAAAATTTCTCTGTTCCAGGACTACTTTCAAATGAACCACCAGTATTACAATTTTCATTTGCTACTGCAGCCTTGACCTCCTCTGGATGCACACGGAACAATCTTCGAAATAATGAAAAATCTGAAGGCTCTTCTTCCTCAGCATTTACATTTCCTTTATCTTCATCATCATCTCTATCACTTAATTCTTTTTTCTCATCAAATTTATCCTTAAAAAGCTTACGGAAGAACCCTTCTTTTTCATCATCTTCTCCCAACTTTGGAACTGCTTTCTCCTCTGGATCACTTTTGCTATCACGAAATAACCGTTTGAAAAATCCATCATCCTCATCCTCATCTTTACTCTCTCTAAGAAGCCTCCTGAAGAAACTATCCTTCTCTGAGTCTTCATCTTCCTTGTCCACAGATTTCCTGAAAAGCAGCGCATCCCGCACTTTTGCCCCTGGAATAAACTTCTTGAAGAGCTTGCTCTCATCAGGAGAGAATTTACCACCCTCTTCCTGCAGAAAATTGCTTATTGATGAGGGTGAAAAGGACAAAGAGCGCTGGGTGGGGGGAGATGAGGTTAGCGATAGTAAGCGATGCTTTGACGAGAGTAGCTTGTTGAGAACCTGGTTCTTGCTCCCAGGGCTTGGAGGGGGATTTGGAGGCCGGACCAATGTGGGCCAGTCACCCATCAAAGTTGCTGCTATCTGGCATTTCTCCTGGATCCTACTGATTCCCTCATTATCATCTGAGTCCTCAAGTTCTGCCATCAAGAACCAATGGACCTTCAGTGCAATCTTTAAAGACTTCGAGCACATATCAATAACAAACTTGTCCAGTGACGGGCTTGGTTTGTGTACCAGCATGTAGCAAATCTGGAAGATGTAGCTCTCAATGCCGGAGAGCGGAAGAGTGTACATTCTGTTACAGAGGTAATCTCGTACACCGGGATGGTCATGCTTGTAGAGGTAACTTACTGCAATCCACTCACAAAAGAATGCCGAATCGAAGAAACGAATAAGCCAACCACTGTCCCCACTCTCACTAGTCGGATTTGTGCGAGTAATCTCGCGAGGCGAATCATCCAATTCTCCACGAACCAATCCCAGAAGCCGCACCATTATCAATCTACCATCATATACTATACTCCGCACCCAATCAAATACGCAACCCTAGTTTCTCCTCAAATTCAGCCTAACCGTCTCCTCCAAATGAAGCCCTAGCAACTAAAGAATTGAATCTACAAACCAAGTGGCAATGTTCCTTGAAAACAAATTCCTGAAGAACCTACACCTTCGTTCAAAACTGAAGTTCCTCTACCTCAATAAACTAACAATCCACTGCAATCCAATCTCACTTTCCTCTGCACAGCCCTAGAAACTCCTGTTCTTATCCAGAAATCTTAACTTTAGATTCGTTTTGCACAAAGGAATCTCTCCAATTCTCGGCAAACGACTATAAATCCAACGCCTTATACAGAAATGATCAACTCAACAAACGACGAGAAAGTTCAAATTTAAAAATAAAAATCAAAGAAATTTTGCGAGAAACGAGAGAGATACTTCCCTAACGCGGGCAAGACTTTCTGATAATTAATGCGAGAGACACAGAAAGTAACAGCTAATCCCTTTTTTTATTCCTTTCCCTCCGTCGTCGTCGTCTTCTTCTTCTTCTTCTTTGCTCTTGGAGGCGAGAGGTGGGACGGAATCAGAAACATTGTAGACATAAATAAATGATAGATGGAAATGCTAACATGCGCGCAGTGCGTTGTTTGGGCCGAGGAATTTTCCCTCCAAGGCAGAGTGCGACATACGTAATTGACGGCAAACTTTATTAAAAATACAAATTATTAAAATAATAATGACAGATTACCATACTGGTTTCAAATGACCAAACTACCCCCTTACACTAACAGACTACAGTCCAGTCAGAGTCCGTTACACTTTCTGAATCTCAACTTATGTTCTACAAGTGGCAATGTGAGGCCGCACTGGTACAACTAAGATGTTTCTGAAAATTCTGAAGTAACGACTTCAGTGCCAATCCACTCACTCAATGTTGGGTTGATCGTAATGCATCTTCAAGACTAGTGGTGTTCATTATACGGTTCAAACCACGAAACCGAATCGAATCAAACTTACTTTTCAGTTTGGTTCCATTTATACTTAAAAATGGGTTTGATTTGGTTTATTAGATTTTACAAACCAAACCAAACCGTAAATGATAAATGCAATTTTTATATATATAATGTATGAAATTATAAATATATAATAAATTCTTTAATTTTATCATAAAATAAAATTTATAAATTTTAACTTTTTAGGGGTGTTAATTGGGCTTTCCAATTGAATTAAGCCCAATAAAAATAGAATGGCCCAAAGTCCCCAAATCATACTAGAAATCGCACCAAACCATAATAAAATGGTTTGATCTGATTTGATTTCTGTACCAAAATGTTTTGATCTGGTCTGAGAACTTCTCCAAACCACACTGAATCAGACCATGAATACCCTACTCATGACGAAGAAGCATGGTTCAAACCACAACTCTTGATGGCGTGTCATTGTAATCCGGATTCAAACCATGGCTCTGTCATTAACCACTAATGAAAGAATGGCTAAATTGGTATTTGATAAGATCTCTAGTTGGTTGCAGTGGAGATTTACAATCAAGTCCACCTGCCACCAATATCGGGGGCTAATGGGTGGGTAAGGAGATGTGGGTTATTACCCCCATTGTGTAGGCCCATGAAGAAAAAATAAATAAACAAATGAAAGGAACATTAAAAGTTCAAATTGGGTTAAGTGATTTTGGTTTGAAGTCACCCTAACACAACCCGTCATTACACTCCCAAACTAGCCCAATCCAGTCCGTTTTTTAGGTGTCGTTTAACATGTCTTTTTTAAGGATTTTCCAGTAAATCTGATAGTCGAATAACGATGTGAGCTTTTACATCAAGATCTTAGTAGTCTAAAGACCATTTGGTTAGGGGTGTAAACGTATTGAATTCGAATAAGAATAGGCAATATCCGTATATAAATCTGATTAGAAATTTGATACCCGAATTCAATTCAACATCTTACAGATATTGAAAATTAATATTCAAATTCAAATAAAATGAATTAATTATTTTAGATAATTAATAAATATATAAAATAAATATTTTTATTTATATAAAGAATATAAATATACAATTTATTTATATAACTTTTAATATATATATTATAAAACATTTAAATATTTTACATATTATATATAAGAATTAAATAATCGGTCGAATTCGAATATTTATCCAATCGAATAAGATCATATTCGAATTCGGCCAATTAAATATTTGAATTATCTGAATTCAATTCAATTATGTCGAATCTCGAATTCAAAATCGGATATTCAAATACTGCTTACACCTCTACATATGGTTAAGGCATGTATTTTCGCTCGTCTTTCCTCACAAAGATGCAATGGAAAAAAGTCGAAAATCTCAATTTGGAGCTTCCCATAAAATAGGGGGTGTAAATGGATCAAATTCGAGTCATACCAGGCAATATTCGAATTCAAATCTAATTAGAAAATTTGATATCCGAATTCGATTCGGTATCCGATGGATGTTGAAAATTAATATCCGAATTCGAATTCGATTAAATGTTTGAATGTTCTATTCGATTCAAATTCAATTAATTAATTATTTTAGATAATTAATAAATATATAAATAAATATTTTATTGATATAAAGTATATAAATATATAAATAATTTATATAACTCAATTATATATATAAAAATTAAATTAAAAATTTTATATATTATATATAATAATTAAATAATCGGTCAAATCTGGATACTTATCGAATCGAATCAGGTCGTGTCCGAATTCGAATCCGACTAACTATTCGGTATGAATAGGATATATGAATTTGACCAATTAGATATTCGAATTATCTGAATTCGATTCGATTATATCGAATGTCGAATTTGAAATCGGATTTTCAAATGTCGTTGACACCCCTATCCGAAAATAGCCCAAAATGGGTTTTGCACATTTTTTCGGGTAGGCATCTTTTGGCAACTAGATCTTTTCCCAACCAAACGAGAAAATACCAAAACATGGATTGTCGAGATTCTAAACAACTGACAACTAGTGTGAAAAGGCACGCCAAGTGGAGCCTAGTTAGGCTTGGACATGAATTTAGGCCAATGTGCTTGATCTTGAGCCCAAAATACCAAAACTAACTTTTTTTCTAGGTCAAGCTCATGGTTTCTCAAGAAAGCCCGACCTGACAATATATTATATATCAAAAAACTACATTTTATATAATAAAATATATGGAAAATCTATGATAGTGGAAAAACATAGTATTGAAAGAGCTTTGACCAATCAAAACATCCTTGGTGAATTTTGATGAATACCACCTGATTGGTCACCTCTTTTTATGATACCAATTAATTGATTGTAAGTTTTTCAATATCATGGTCAAACCCTAAAGTATGTTTATATCTCCTCTTTTATTAAGTCATAGTGTGATATTTCATTATTTATGGTTTTTGATGTCATTTAGTATGAATAACTCAATTTTATTATTGAGTAAAAAGAAAATAAATTCAAATTTCCCAAATTTCTAATTAGGTTTTGAGTTTTATACAATGATCCAATTTGAACTCATGACCTAAGCTCAATGGTCGAGTTAGGCTCAAGCTTAGACTTTAATGTATTTTATTTAGGGATGAAAATGGATTGGATTGGATTTGAATAAGGGTATATCCAAATCCAATCCGATACTGTTCATGTTAGATATGATCCGATTGGACCTAATAGGCCTCGACTTGAATTCGAATCCCATCGATAAGTCAGATATTCAAAACTGATCCGCTCTAACTTGTTTTCTTTAAAAAGTAATAAATTATTAAAAGAAAATAAAATATATCAATTTAAATAAAGAAAAACAAAATATACAAGTATTTTTTAATTATTTTCATCGTATATACACATATTTTATAAAAAATAATATAACATATTTTATAAAAAATACAATATAAATAATATACATACTACTTTAAAAAAGCATGAATAGTATCCCTAATATTTCAGGAATTTTTTGAGGGCAAAATTTGCCCTTCCATATTTAAATTTATTGATAAAAAACGAAGGCAAAAGGGTAATCAATTATTAATATTAAATGAGTTGAAAAGAGACTATTATAAGATACTCAATGCATTCAATTTCCTCTCATAAATCCAACACTTAAGGTATTAATTTGATTCACCTTCATTGAATCATATATCTAAGGCATCTTTATTTATTATCATCATTAAATTATATTTATTAAATCCACACATAATAAACTTATAATTCCAATAACATAAAAACATACTTTTAAAATCTACTTGAAAAAAAATAGTGTTTTCATCTAGGCAATGGTAAGAAATTAAACCATTTCGGGTCAATCTATGTTTTTACAATTAAATAATAAAATTAAAAAATAGATAAAATACAAAAAATTTAGAAATTAAAAAAAGTAAGAACATTTTTAACATCATATATTCGATATATTAAACAATAATAAGTATGATAAATAAGAAATATTTTTATTGATGATGTAAATGAAATGTAAAATTTAAAACCAATTAGAAATAAAACTATTTTCCCATTCTTTCTCGTTAAATCTCATATTAAGGTATATTCTCTCATTAAATCCACACAATTAATTTTAATATTATAAAAATAAATATTTCAAAATATAATTTGAAAACAAAACTATTTTCTTCCCTCCCAATGGTGGGTAAGCAATTCAACCATTTTGGTTTAAATGGGTTAATAAATAATGTCATATTTAATAATAAAAAATAAAATATATAACACAAAAAATAAAAAATGGGAATATCTCTAATATTGCATATTCATTATACTAAATAAAAATACATATGCAACGTAAAGTAATTTTATTAATGGTGAAAATGGAATGCCAAAGTTAAAATCAACATATAAATGAAATGATGTCATAGTCAAATAATAAAAGTTTTAAAGATAGAAAATATAAATAATAACAAAAATAGAAAAAAATTTGTGCACATATCTAATGTTACATATTCATAAAAATAAATATTGGGCACATCTCTAATATTATACATTCATTATCAATGATGAAAATGTAATATAAAATTTAGTGTCAACCTAGAAATCAAATTATTTTCCTTTTTTGGGTTGCAGGTTAGTGGTTTGGGTCAAACAGATTAACCGATGATGATATGATAGTTAACTAATAAATCTTTAAAAAATAAAAAAATACAAGTAATCAAAATAATATATAAATTATGTTAAATAAAAATTAAGTATAATAAGTAAAAATTATTTTTATAATGTAGATGATATATAATTTAAAATAAATCAAAAAGTAAAGCTATTTTCTTATCTAGATGGTGGGTCAATGATCTAACTTTTCAAAGAAACTCATGATGCCATAATTGAATAATAAATATTTTAAAAAGATAAAACACAAAATTCTATCACATTTATAATGTTATATATTCATCATAATAATTGTTAAAATAAAATTTATTTTTATTTATGGCAAAAATTAATGGAATACATAATTTAATAATAATAATAATAATAATAATAATAATAATAATAGTGATAATAATTGTTATTGTAATTTAAAATTTCCACATGCAATGCACATGCACATTTATTTCAAGCATTTGAGTTTATTTTTAATCATATTGTTACTTTTGTTAATTTTTAATTTTTATCTTAATTATGATATATCTAAAA